ATCTACCACCAACACCACTATCATATTATATACATGCCACTATCTTATTATATGCATTAACACACATTTCCAGCATATTATATTACTATGTAAGAAATGTTACAATTCTAATTTCATAAAACAAGTAAACATGACTTGAAGTATCTGATACTTCAAAATTAAGTATTCAATACTCCAAAATTAATGAAAAAATAATTAAGAAGTATCCGATACTTTTAATGCGTATTCAATACGTATCCGCGAGTATCCAAGAAATATCGGTATCCAATACGAATAAGTCGCCCTATTTGAAATATTTGTGCTTCATAGGGCCTCAATGAATATATTAGAAAAACTACAGTTATAAAAAATGAATCAATTTTTTTATAAATGTACTTTATATAGAAACTATGTGGAATTAAAAAAAAAATGCATAACTTCAAAACTAAACCCCAGCCTCCAGTAGGTCTCCAAGCTTCCTCTTTAAACCAGTGACCAAATGTACGACCCTGCGCCTGGGAATAACATACTTAAATCGACACAAATTCTTCAACCAAACATTACTAATAATACCTTGGTCTCGGTCTCCACATGCATGCCTCACTATGCTTGGCTTCTGGAAACTTGACAAGAAATTTTTTACATTGGCTAAGAATAAGATGCACCACAATGTACAATATTATTAAGGTGCCTTGAACGGCCGAATATTTTATGTCTAACTTAGATGTTGCACACCACTGATAAAAAAAAATTAAACAGTAATCTATAGTTAATGAGCATTCCATGCTACCAGCATCTAGTGTGAGCAAAGTCTTAATAACTGCTAGTAACAGAGTTGATTTTCAGTCTGATTATGTATCAGAATAATTTTAAGATGCATAATTGAGCAACAAAATGATAACACATGACCAATTGTGCAGGACTCATGAATTGTTCCAAGCAACCAAATAAGCTACTAACTACCAAAGTAAACAAATTAAGCAATGTAAATGGGGAAACAACCAAAGTACATACCATAAGAAGATGGCATAGCATGACCATTCTTTCCAAATACCATTCAACTTGTTTGATTCTGATTTTCAGAAAATAGTTTTCAAAAAATCTTACTTTTTTATTTTCCGTATTTTAATATTTTCAATCTTTTCATATTTTAAGCAATTTTTATTTTTTAGACACACCTGACATAAATGCACTTAAAAAATATAATATTTGTGAAAAAAATATTTTAAAAAATACACTAAATACCAAAAAATACAAAAAAAAAATGAAAATTCATTACATTGGTCGTATTTTTTTGTATTTATTAATTTTTTAAATATTTTTTCACAAATATTTTACTACTTAGATACATCTAAGTAAGATGCATCTAAAAAAGTAAAAAAAATTGCTTAAAATTTTAAAAATATTTACTAAAAGCAAAAAAACACAAAAACAAAAAACACAATTTTCAAAAAACTGAAACCAAACACATTAATTGTTCTTATAAATTGAAGCATCGTTTATGAGGAACATGAACTATTTATACTAATATTTAATTTTGCTAACCATAAAGTCATATAATAGTTTATGGACACATAATCAAAAGCAAACTATGCAGGGAAAAAAAAAATTATGCAGCAAAACAAAACAAGTGGATGAGAACAGAAATTTTTATAACAAATGGTGTCACTGGTCATGCATAGAGGCAGAATAGATGCCTCCCCTGATATTATTGATTAGAGGCACTTTCCAAAATATATATATATATATATACCAATTAGAGGCCAGACACTGTTGGCCTCTAAGAACATCTTTAAAAATAGAATAAACTGCTCTCAAACATGGAGATTTTTCACTTAAGGTTAGCTAAAGAAAGCTTCATATGAAATTATTTTAAATTTTGGAAGACATGAGAGCCAAGAGCTTGCAGTCGCAGCTACTTCAAACATTAATAGCACAACATCTGGGCTTCGGAAGACAAAGCCCACTCAAAACGACAATTTATCACCACTATACACTCTGTTTGGTTCTTGAATTTGTCAAGGGAAAATAAAAGGAAACGAAAATGAAACTTGACAATCTAGACTCCTTGTTTTTGGTTGGATGGTTGGTTGGGAAATGTAAAGAAAATGAAGAAGCATATCTCAAGAAATCCACTATTTTGTCTAGTTACACAGAAAAATCATAATAGGCATCCCTCAATGAATCCAAGATGTAAACATAGCCTAATGTTTGGCTATTGGATTGTATTTGTGTAAAAATCAGTATTCACTATTCATTAGTTAAGAGATATACACTGCCCCAGTAGATGAAAATATTCAATTTTCTGTCTAAATCATTGCTCGCCTGGATTATTCATTGGGCTTTCAATGACAGTCAAATTAATGCTGATAAGCAGAAACAATTTCAGCCACTTCCGATTGCAATCATGAAATCTCAAATTCATGTAAAGTAACACCAGAAGTCAAATTAGTTGAATGAACTTACGTGTAGTCTAGTCTAGCAATGAATTTTTTATTTATTAATTTATTTTTTTTTCATATTCCAGAGCACAAATCAGATTGGAAGGAAAAATATATATTAGATTAGATTCAGCAGAAATTTGAATAAAGAGAAAATACCATGGAGACTATTTGGGGGCTTGTTGATGGGCAAAGAGTAATCAACCCCACTGAGTGTAAATTTGCCATCTATGATCCTGTTCGTGACTCGGCCAACAATGCATCCAAAGAAAGGTGAAGAACCTTTCTGATCAAACATAGATCAATCAATTCCAAAAATCATAATTTAATTTAATTTTTTTTTTTTAAAAAAAGTAAAAAAATATCCAAGAAATTATCAAATTGTTTTCTTTTCTCTTCTTGATTGCAAAAATCAACAAACCCAGAAGTGAAAAAGACAATATCATAGGGATTTCAATAGTTTTGGCCACTTCCCTTTATTTCTCATTGAATAATTAAACAGCATTTCTGCATAAATTAGGGCTTTTTCTACACATGAAATTCTATCACTCGAAAGTGCTTACATGAAAGGAAAAGTGAACCAAAAAAGAAGGGACATGTCATTTATTTTAATATTTTAAAAGAGATTTACGAATATAAAACGCAAAACATTCAAAATTTAAACATCAAATTCATCAATAACATCTAGCCAAAAAAAAAAAAAAATTCATCAATAAGGAAGTGTGATTACCTTGTAGTTAGCATGTTGTAGCATGTATCGTTGCTCTTTGGCAGTCATAAGTGCCAAGTTTCTTTCCAATTTTCCATCTGAGCCTCATAGGGAGATACCTCATCCTCCAGCTGTTGAAGGGTTCTATAAAAGAAAAGAGAAAAACAAAAAGTATAATCCCCACAAATACTCTACAAATATATATATATATATATATATTTTACAATCTGTCAATGAATTGAAGGTGGAGTATACATTTTGAGATAAGTCAGCCTTGTTATTGCCTTTCGAGTGTAATCCAGAAGAATTTTGGACTCCCTCCGTAGTTGATTCCTCTTCTCCTCAACTCTATTCTTTTTTAAAGATATGTCTCCTGCTGCTACAAAAACTGAATGTGTACTAAATAAGACCTTGACATCAAAGATTATAAAAAGAAAACTTGTTTGCAACGATCAAAGCAGCTTGAGTGTTAGCTTGGGAGAGAGTGGCAAGGTTGTGTAAATGAGAAATGCTCTGAGAAGTGTATTCAAAATCTGGAACGTCTTTACCAACCGCATCAAATTGAGATACAAGCGAAGCTTTTACTTCTTCAATCTGACTGATACTGAAACTACTGTCGTTGTCTTCTGCACATAGAAGGCTTGACACTGTATAATCAAAACTTGGTGCCATTGCAAACTTTCACTAAATCCTCTCTGATTTCTATAGATATTTATGATTTAATAACAACCATCTTATCAAATGAGAATGGTAGAATCATAGAAACCTCAGTTTTGTTCCTTGGATTGATTTATGAGAAAAATATATTTCTTTACCAAAGAATGTATGCAAAAACAAAGAATGAAAAGGGTATGAGAACAAAAAAGAGATGAAGCACTCTCTCACTCTCTCTCTCTCTCTCTCTCTCTCTCTGTTTGTTTGATTTTAGCATATGATCGAGCACATGGTGGGCACACAATTAAACAGTTGTGCGGAACAAGAACAGGGCTCCCAACAGACAAATTAGGAATAAATGTATAACAGACAAGAGGAAGAAGACGCACCTCAGTTTCAGCAAGTTGTTCCAGCTCATAGAACATACACCAATCCACCGCTTCCGTGGAAAACGAATTCCAAATTGCAAGCATACAGCAAAATCTTTCCAAAGCATAGATGGGAGCCCTGGGTAGGCTTCACTGACATGTAATCTGGAAGCTACCAGCACTGAGCCACCACTTCTGTTATGGAGAATTCTTGGAAAAGCAATTGAGCAGCAAACAGAGGCGAAGCGGCCCGATTTGTCCATTGTTAAGCGTTAGAACGCCTTTCTACACTTGGTTCAGGTGATATTATATTCCCACAATGAGGATATATTCGGTATTTTGAGCGTTAGATTCACAATTGCATTTTGGCTCTTTTATATAATGTTATAGATTATGTAAAATAAAACAATATTATATATATCATACAATGTCAAAAAGACACTTTGCTGGTTTTATAGCAATAATACAACAATATATACAAATAATAATAGTGCCAAACACAAAAACCTTAAACCCATATAATGAGTATCATACACACATCTCACACCCTTGTCCAAGTGTTGGGTTCCCTCTCTAGCTGCAACCGGTTTCAGGGGCTGATTTGCTACAACTTTCCATCAACATAGGAATGGAAAACCTGTTCTCAAAATATAGTTCTTAAATCCAAACTTTGCCATGATGTCAAGAATCAATATGTATTCATCAATGAAATTTCATAGTTGTCTCCCTTTCTCAGTTCCACAACCACCCAACTTCATATCTAACTTTCCTTGATTTGGCAGGTGAGAAGAAAGAAGAAAATAAATAAATAAAATTTTGAGACAACAATTCACTCCCTCACAGAGTATATTTGTCAGAGTCAAACTATCAAACCTCCTGTTTTTCAACAAAGTAAAAGATACATAAACTCTAATCATACACAAGCATTCTTATTATTTTTTTCCTCAGTACTACAGGTTTTGTTCTGTTAAGCCTTTGGTAGTCTATGACTATTGGCTAATCAATTCCTCATTCCAATTTGAGGTGTAATGGGATCGTGATAGGGGTTAATTACAATGCAGAGCATTTTTTGCAGCATTCTATTGCCCTACTACTACTTTCTCTTCACCATCTTTCACTCCTTCAAAAATTTCATCATCATCAAACCCTGCAAATCAACAAATAGAAGCTAATTGATCTCGGAACAAAGCCTATTAGATGAAGTTATGAAAAAACTGTGATTACCTGTACCCAAGTCTTCAACATCATCAGTTGATGGTCCTAGAAGCATTGTGTTGCCCAAGGGTGGGTCAACTGTCATCCAATCTATACTCCCAAAGGCCTCCGAGCATCCTTCCTTCTCCATAACCCAGTCACCAACAATACCGGTGTTCTCAAAGGAAATCGGATCAACTGAATCCTGTTCTTTGTTCTTACAAACCCTGTAAAGGATCAGTTAGTCAGAGGGAGACCTTTTTTTCTCTTGCAAGTTTGAAATTTTCATTCGTTTTGTTACTTACATTTGCCGCAGTTGCAAGTTGTAGTGTACAAAAACAAGGTCACTAAGCCTTTGATGCTCGAGGCAGTTTTTTGTTTCGTGCATTTGTTGAATAGAGATCCGATTTGGTTTACACAAGATCAAACTGCAAGTTTGACTGAGAATACGGATGGCCAAACGAGCCAAATCCGGGCATCCCCCTCCATATGTAGACCACCACTCATCTAAGAGAATCAAAATTTTATAAGAATTTGGACAACGATTTAAACAAAGCAAGAAGTATAGTTGAAATAAAATCAATTGATGAAATATCTATCAATATTCTTGTACAAAAAGGGTTTATGATCCATTGCAATAACAAAAAATAAGGGCTCAATAAAAACAAACCACCGCATAAAACCATAAAAATAAAAATAAAAATTCTCCAGTAAGTATATACAACCATAATTTTCCATCATATAAAACAATTCAATGGACGATTATAATTACTAATTGGTTGGAACCACTATATCTAATACCAGATATTAAGCTAAGACTAGGCTTTTGAGTTTGGCTTTGTCCCTAACTCACTTGACAGCCAAGCATTACACTATGATGATTTGTACTTGAAAACCTAATGGGAAACGTGTCAAAACAACGTCTAGTCTCTTAATTACTTGAACACCTTAGCCCAATTCAAACCCTTCCCATGACTTCTTTTTTTTTTTTTTTTTTTTTTTTTTGGGGGGGGGGGGGGGGGGCAAAAAAAAAACACCCCCTCCCATAACTAAAACTACTCCTAAATCTCTCTTTACAATAAAATTATGAATCTCCCAACCACACCTATCTACTATCTAAAGATTCTTTATATACTCAAGAACCCACTCTTGCAATCACACCTAGTTATCTCTGAGACATAGTATATACCTAAACGCTTAAAACTGAAAAAATCGATCGTTAAGAAAGAGAGGGGCGGTAAAGAAGAAGAAAAAAAAAGGTTCACACTGATTCTACTGGTCAGTCACATGAATCACAAAAAAGCATGGGTGGTGTCTTAAGACTTGCCCCAAAGATGTCAACATTCTTCAAAATCGCTAGTTACAATGAATAAGCAAACTGACTGAACTATTTTAACAAAATGAAACAATTGTATTTTAACAGAGGACCCTCACCAGGAAGTAAAGCGTCTCTTGCTCTAATTGCCATCTTCCGCCCAAAATCCCCAACAGCATTGTGGTATGACGTCGTCTCTTTCACTATTTTATCCTGGATTTTTACGTCAGGAACCAACTTCTCTATGCAATCATACACTGACGATCGAATGTGATGATGTACATCTCCTTCAATACTGTAGAAAAACTTGGGGTTGAGGTAAAAACCAGCAGCATGAAGAGGGTGACGCTGTAGTATCCCCCACCTGTGATCTATAATATTCCAATAAACCAAATAATCTTTCTTATCAACAAGTTGTTTCTTAATTGATTCTTTTGCTCGATAAATTCCTGCATAAACATACCCCATTGCAGGCCTCTTCTCACTGCCGACCAACCTTAAAAGTCGCAAGAGTGGATCTGTTAAACGGACAATTAAGACACATGATGACCAAAATGACTGACTGCTAATATGATCTAACATTGCAAATCCCTCTGTCTTCTTTGAATATGGGCACTCCATCCACTCCTCTGAAGTAACCATGGATTGCAAATTGTGTTTGATATTCATCATTCGTTTCAGTGTTGTAAAGTCTGTTGCGAAGCAGGTAGCTCCCACGTCCACTAAATCAACACCAAAAGTATACCTTCTCATCATATTTAAAACAACACTATGGTTATATATAAATCTCGATATAGATTTAGCTTGCTCAATTATCGTGTTTATCCACTCAAGCTTTTTGAAATCCTCAAGAATCAAATCAATGCAATGAGCTGCACAAGGAGTCCAAAAAACAGTAGGCAAAACATCGGTCAACCTTTTTGCAGCAACAACATATCGATCTTCAGTATTAGTAACCACTTGCAACAAATTTCTCATTCCAACTTCTTCCACCACTTCCTTGAGCAATTCATAAAGGGCATCAGGGGAATTCATAATGTCAGATATATCCACAGACCTCAAAAATGTTATTCCTTCGGGACAGTACATCAAAAAGTTCACCACCGTTCTACCTTTCTCTGAGACCCATTCATCAACCAAAACAGAACAACCAGTCTTTGCCCACGTCCCCACACATTGATCAATGTCATTCCTCACTTCTTGAAGCGAATTCTTCAAAATACAGCTGCGAAGATCGTGATAAGAGGGAGCTACAACCCCCACTCCTTGTGAAGCAATTGCATCAACCATTGGTTGGAAATAAACTGATTTCACTGAATCTAAAGGTATCCCAACATCATAAAAAAACCGACCTATTGCCATACTAACTTGATTGTTTCCCCTTTTCGAACCTACTAAAGTATTATTATTATTATTATTAATTACAGCAAGGGCATTTGAAGTTGCAGAACGAGAAGCTTTTCTAATTCTCCCTTTTTTCTTTCTACCCGCACCTTTGTTGCTTATTTCTTCTTCTTGATTCACTGAGAAAGTTGGATTCGGTTCAACTGTTTCAGGAACCGCAACCAATGTGACTTCGGTATTCAACCCACAAGGATTCGTAAAAGTGCCTACCTCACTAGTAGATGGATTAAAACTAGTCATCTCTTCTGCAATTTTCTGTTTCTTCCTCTTCTTCACCACAACCCCATTCAAGCTCTCTTGCATTAAAAGCCGAACATCAGGCTGAACTCTCAGACATGTTGACGCATTACCCTTTTGACCCGCGAGATGTTCTTTAATTCTATGAATCCCACCACCCTTAAAAATTTTCCCACAATACGTACACTTGAGCTGAACCCTATCCCCATTTTTAAACATTTGACAATGCTTCCAAGCAGGGTCATGTTTTTGCGAAGTAAGCGGTACCGGTTCCAACCCAGAAGCCATTTTTTTTCCTACCTCATCAGTGGCTATGTATGCAATAGTTTAATCCAACAAGAACAACAAGAACATTGTTTTGATATGAAATTGAGCTAAACAATTAGAGACCCTTCAACGCGAAGATGGTATATAACAAAACAAAACAAAACAAAAACCCAAGTAAATCAAGCTTGAATTGAAAGAGAAAAAGAAGGGAATCGAACTTACTTGGCTTGTGATGTTCTGAGAATGGTTTTGATGTGAGAGAGAGAGAGGACCGAGTTGAGGGGGGGTTACTCTATATAGAGAGGATGAGAATCGATGGTTAACCGGATGGACCGGTTAGGGCAGCGGTCAGGAGGAGAGAGTGGGTTTTGGGTTGATTAGTTCGGGTTTTACCGGATGATCCGGTCAACTTGGTAAAACGGGCCGGGTTAGGAGAGTGGAGAACCGGAAGTTTCGGTTGCATCTCGCTTGAGAGCCGGAGGCGGTTGTGACGCCACCTAGACCGGACGGTGGAGACCGGCGAGTCGTCCAAAGCTATTGTCGGTATAACGAACCTAGACCGGTCTGTGACCCACGATTTCTCAGTTGAGCCGACGATTCGTATAAAAACAAATTGCAGATCTTGTTTTCTTCCTCCTAGTTCTATATCATTCACACACAGAGAGAGAGAGAGAGAGAGAGTTATTTTGGTTTCGGTTTCTTCTGTGAATCGCTGGTTTGATTTGATGATGAGACCGACTGAGGCGATGATGAGACGGTCTGGAGATTCTGATGCCCTAGCTTGTTTCTGGTACCAAAAAAATTGAATCCTTTACATTTTGTTTTTTTAATCTAGTTTTACCTAATCTGATCAGACTCTGTATTTTTCTCCTTGAAAATTATACAAGAATCACTTCCATTAAATTAGAGCATCCAATCATTCACCTTTTCTTTCATTAAATTTGTAAGTGTTCAAAAATCTTCTCAGATCCTTTTTATCAAAATGTTCATCAAATCAAATTTAGGGAGTGTTATTTTTTCATCAAATTAACAACTCATCAAATTTGAATTTAATGAAAACTTAAAAATTTTAAATTTGATGAAAATTTAAAAAGATGATGCATTGGATTTTTTTTATTATTATCAAATTTGATGAAAAGTGAAATATGGGATGAGGAGGTAATTTTTAAAATGATTTTGATGAAAGAATTAGAATAGTTCATATAAAATCAAACATTTTACTGAAACTTAGAATCAAATTAGATTAAAAAAAAAATTAGTGAATGATTGGAGACGGTCTTAAGTGCTGATCGTGTAAGTTGAATCTATTTGATTTCTAAAGTTATTTGTGGGTGTACTTGTTTGCTTGTTAAAGATGATATAATTGGAATTTTGAGTTAATGAATGGGCTAAAGTTATTTGTGGGTGTACTTGTTTGCTTGTTAAAGATGATATAATTGGAATTTTGAGTTAATGAATGGGTTCTTATGAACTTAGCAATTGCAACAGGTGGTAGGTATTAGGGGTGGGCAACGGTTTATCCGAACCGCTCAAACCGCCCAACCCGCCTAACCCGCATATAAATGGGCGGTTTCGCAAACATAATGCGGGCGGATGCGGTTTGAAATATGACAAATTTGCGGGTTGCGGGCGGGTCGCGGGTTAAAACCGCAACCCGCAAAAACCGCCCGCACTTTAATTAGTATTATTATTATTATTTTTTGTATACCAACTTTGTAACTTTAACATGAGCATCATTATGTTCTCTATGACACTAGAATTCTTATTTTTAAGTATTTCTCAACTTTCTTAATGTCATAGAATTATCAAGTCCAAAACTTGGTTTCTTATATGATTTTCATTGATGACTCATCCACTTTTTCCTAATAAATTTTTTCTTCTGGTGATCGATGAAGCTTCTAGTTTGATTATTGATTACTGAATTGACAATTCTAATTGAGTATAACCTTTAATGCATTGATATACATTTTTTTCATGACAAAAATGCTAGTGATATTCAATTTTTATTTGTAAACTCATCAGAAAATTGTTATCAAATGATCACAAATATATAAAATGAATCTAATGCTTGGATTTTTTTTATTATTATCAAATTTGATGAAAAGTGAAATTTGGGATGAGGAGGTAATTTTTAAAATGATTTTGATGAAAGAATTAGAATAGTTCATATAAAATCAAACATTTTACTCAAACTTAGAATCAAATTAGATTAAAAAAAAAAATTAGTGAATGATTGGAGACGGTCTTAAGTGCTGATCGTGTAAGTTGAATCTATTTGATTTCTAAAGTTATTTGTGGGTGTACTTGTTTGCTTGTTAAAGATGATATAATTGGAATTTTGAGTTAATGAATGGGTTCTTATGAACTTAGCACTTGCAACAGGTGGTAGGTATAACATCCTTGGATGAAGCATAATATTTCTTTATCTTTTCTTTTCTTTCATTTTTCTTTTTTTGTGTATTTCAAATCTTGGGATTGATTTGTTTCATCATGGGAAACAATTATATGGTAAGCCTTGGGGATCAAAATTGATGTATTGTTCTACTAATAATTGTATGGCTAAACAATCAGCGAGAAAACCCTTGCCCTGCACATTTCAAAATTCAAGCCAACTGTCCTTCCGTGAATTTTTTGAGAAATTCTATTTCCACGCACATACTTACCTCTGTGCACACATTTAGCCTCCGTTTGGGAAGTGGGTTGGCTTTTTGACTTTTTTGGCTATTTTAGCCTAGGCTAAAAAGTTTAGCTTGAAAAGGGCTTTTTGACTTTTTTTGTGAGAGAATAATGTAATGATTATGGGTTGGATGTGATGTTTTGTTTGTTGTGGTTAAAATAGCCAAAAAAAAGCTCTTGCCAAACGGAGCCTAATGATTTATTTTTTTATTGTAGTTTTGTCCTAAAATAAAATTACTAAAGTGTCCTTATCTTCTCCACCAAAACCCTAATTTCTTTAAGTCATGCTAAAATCATTGCTAAAATCAAAGTAAAATCTACAAAAAATTCAGTTGCATGTATTAACAACTGTTGAATAATCTTAGATCAAAAATAAAACTAGAAAATGCACAAGAACAAACATCAAGTACGCACGTTTGTTTCCAAGCTTTCGATCCAAATGTGGGGAAGTTGGAGAATCCACATTGTTCACCACCAGAAAAGTACCATTAGAAGAGACCCCACAGAAAACTAATCGAAAAGAACTTCATGAACCCATGAGCCTGCTTCCTACAAAAGGATTGTTACTAACCGCCCACATCCACTAGGGTTTCAAGAGGGATATTTTTGGTAAAAAGAGTTATGCATTGAGTAAAATTACAAAATTCAAAATTAATTGGTGTGTATTGAGAGAGAATGTGGAGCGAGACATTTTGGTGTGTGGAAATAGAATTACCCAGCTTCATTACTTTTTTCCAGCTGAAAACTAAATATGCAAATAAAAAGTGAATAACTAAAAATAATAATGATGATGATGACAACAATAAGAAAATATAATTTACTTGGCTATCGCAGAACTTCATTCTGACCCCCTTCATGTCAAGTGTTTTAACTCAACAGAGGAGTGCAAGTCTAAGGCTATGGAAGCCTAGGTCATATAACTTGCTTCGTGGGGGAAGTGGAATTGGAGATACACAAAGGAGAGTAGCCTCTCAAGGAGAAAGGAGCTATGGGAGTTGCGAAGTGATTGGTTGTAGAATGAGGTCCATGCTTCTTGTGGGATGGGATTGTGGAACATCTTGATGGATGGGTAGGATGAGTTTGCTAATCGTGTCCAATGTGTAGTGGGGAATGATTAGAAGTAAGGTTCTAGCTAAGACCATTGGTGTGAGGAAGCTTCATCTAGGTAATGGCCATTACAGACGTCTTAATGATTGTTGTTCTTAATGATGCTTTTGTTGCAGATCATGTTGTGGTTTGGAAATGAGGCATGATTTGGGATCCTTGGTTTTATAAAGCCTTATTAGATTGGATCTTGTTTGTTTGTCAACCATGAATAGGAGACATCTTGAGATGGATGGCCTCCAACGGGTGGAGATTCAAACTGAGGTCTTACTATGTAGTGTCAAGTTGGGGACGTGCATGTTCCCTGGAAGGCTATATGGCATTTAAGAGTTCCTTTCATAGTGACTATTCTTCAGTTGGATAGCTATGTTGAAGGTACTAGCTATATGTACTTTGACTTGTAGTGGTAAAAGTATGCTGAATTAGTTATGTATGTTGTGTCGGGAGGCTGTAGAGATTGGATAATTTATTGATTAGGTGAGTAATAAAATGACTCTTGGCAATTCGTCTTTTTGTGTTTGGAATGCAGTAGGCTACACCTCCATCACTAGATGAGTTCTAGGTTGGGCCGCCATTATGCTTCTGACTGTATTGTTAGGAGGAATTTCAAATCTATAAAAAGTCGCTGTCAGTGGTGAAACTAGCTCCCAATTGTTTTGTATTATGGGGAGGTCTTTTTCTATAGCTTTCAAGATTGTTAATGTTTGTCTTCTATTTGTAGAGGTTTGGAAGATTGTGGACTAAAACATATTTTGGACTGTTCGAACGCGTCTTTCCCTTGTCAATTACCCACATGAGGGTTATTGAGCAGGAGTTGTTGAAAAAAACATGGGTCAAACAATTCAGTTATGTCTTTAAAATTTTAAAACTGGCGATAGAGGAGGTAAAAACTAGCATGCTATATATGAGCACACTTGTAATTCTGGATCTCAACACTTCCATGTTGCAGCTGCATTATTGTTCTGTTATATAATTGATGTTTTTCTATTTAAGATGTTGTTCTAGTGGCTTGAAACAGTGAAGATAGGTTCTTTTTTTTCTTCACGAAGACATGATTTTTAAGTTACTGATGTTCTATGTAGAGGTATGCAAATCACCATGTCATAAGAGATCATGGTAACTGGTCAAATAATTTTCCATCTGGGTTAGCTAGACCCACATAACATATGTAAATAGAGGTTATGTTTCGTTAAGGTACTTTGTTGGAAGGCGCCTTTACTCAATTTGGAAAATATTCTACTTCTGAGAAACCAAACAGTTTTTTGTCATCATTTATGCATCATGCTTATCTGACTTTCAGAGATAGTAGGATAAGCATTCTTACGATTTCTATCATAGTTAGATATAGAAACGCAATGTCGATGTTAATTGAAAAAAATATCATGTTGTGGTTTGTGGCTGATATGGATACCAGTGTAATCATGCGTGTGCATGCTATCCTTTTGCTATACATGAAGAGATATTACTAAGTTGGGAGAGAGGAGAATTCAACAGTTTTTCCCCCCCTAGCAAGGGAGTCATTGTTTGTTCAGTGTTGGTGCAGGCTAAATCTAGAAATGAGCAGATAGGCTAGGACTATTTGCA